AAAAAAAAAAAAAACACATAATCTAATTGTTAATAAAATGTATATTAATAAGTTAATTCCAACTTGTATTTGAATAATATTTGACCTGGTTTTCTTCTACTTTGAGTTCTAAAGTCAGGTTGATTTACTAAATATTTTCAAGGAAAGGGAGAAGGGTATTTTTTGCTATGTAGGCAAAATTAATGTTCCAGGGTCTGTAAGTTTGATCATTGTTCTTTGTAGAAGCTTATAAGAGTCACAAGCTGCTACAAAGGCAAAACCTGTGATTGCTATAGATTTTACAAATTAGATCATTCTCAAGACGCTTCCTTGAAGCATATTAATAGAATTCTCAATGTACCTCTTTATTTTCTAGTCAGCCTTGTAAATTAAAATTCTATGCATCATGTCTTTACCTTTTAACTTCATATATTATTTGAAAAAATATTTGAATACTATAGCTTATGAATTATAAATACTGTCCTTGAAATTACCTTCACCACAGATTTTATATTTTTTAAATTAATTCTTTAGGTCAGTATATTCTCTCACCAATTCCCAATAAAATCACCCCTAAGTAAGCCTTTTTTTAATTAACTATAACCAGTAGCCCTGTATGTGCTACTCTGATGCTATCGTTGTGTCAACTCTAATCTTTGTCATTCTAATCATATATTTTAGTTTCCATTAATATATTTCTTTTTTCCTTTTTTTATTTTGAGAGAAAGAGCATGAGCAGGGGAGGGCAGAGGGAGAGAGAATCCCAAGAAGGCTCTGCACTGTCAGTGCAGAAGCCTATTTGGGGCTTGAACTCACAAACCATGAGATCATCACCTGAGCCGAAAATCAAGAGTCTGACGCTTAACCAACTGAGCCACCAAGGCACCCTGAGTTTTCATTAATATATTTCAGTTGAAGTCTTATATATCAAGTAGACCAAATTTTTCAAAGCATTTATAGCAACTAAGGCATATTTTATAGTTTTAAAGTTCTAATAGGTAAGAACTTTGCTTATTTTAGAGTTCAGTAATTTTTTTAAAGAATGTTACCTCCAACCAGAACTTTTTTTGAAAAACCTATTGATTTTTAAATGTTTTCTCTTACAGCCTGATGTGTGAAAAAAGAATTTTTGAAACTGTGAATAGTGTAAGACATCCCTTTTTGGTGAACCTTTTTGCATGTTTCCAAACCAAAGAGCATGTTTGCTTTGTAATGGAATATGCTGCCGGTGGGGACCTAATGATGCACATTCATACTGATGTCTTTTCTGAACCAAGAGCTGTGTGAGTATGCTTTGGACATTTCTCTGAGTTTTTTCATGACAGATTTTTTTGCTAGGAAGGAGAAAAGGTCTCTCAGTTTCTTTTTTCTTTCCAAATGGAAAATAGATTTCTGCGAAGAATATTAGAACTCTACTTATTTACCTCTTTGCTACATATAAATGTATCTATTTTACTTTGTTCATGTTGAAAATTTTATGGATTACCCTAAATCACACTTGATAATTTAGACGAACAGTTTAGGTTCATTTTAGTAAAATACCTTCTTTTTCTCTATTATATTTTCTTCCTGGGAAATGCCATCTAGAACCATGGCTTTATTTATTTATTTATTTATTTATTTATTTTACTTTTTTTAGAACTATGGCTTTAAATACTTAACTATACTCAAAGTACATTGTTAAGTGAAAAAACATAATATAAAAGAGTCTTTATCAAGTATTTGTATGAAATATTTGTTTTTGCATTTTAAAGGGTAATAAGTTAATGTGTATTAAGTCTTTGCATGTGCTTAAGATATCTCTGAAAGAATATAAAAGAAATTCATATGCATATAGCTTCCAATGAAAGGTATAGAAATATGCAGACTTTTCACTGTATTTTTTTAATTTGCTATTATATGAAGGTTGTGCTTCTTCAAATGCATAAAAATAAGTAATTGGAAATGTTTGAGATTAAATATAGATGTGTATATATTTTCCCCTTACTGTTATCCCAGTTTTATCACTCTTAAATGGTGAAGCTGGGATTTGATCTTAGGAAAGTGCTCTGAATAGCCACACTCTGTATGCTGATGTTTACCAACTTTGTATCTCCAGCCCAGACCTCTTCCCTAAACTTCCAACCCTAATAACATTCAGCACCAACTTGACTTTTCCCTTCATATGGATAATAAGTATTTCTCTTTGCAGACTGAATTTCTGATTTTTCCCATTTCCCCCAACCTTACCCACTTGTCCCAAACCTGCTACTCTTCTAATCTTCAGCTTAATAAAAGGCAGTACCAGTTGTTCAAGCCAAAAGATAGGAAGTCATTTTTTTTTAAACAGGTTTTATTTTATCGAATTCCAGTTAGTTAACATACAGTGTTATATTAGTTTCAGGTGCACAATATAGTGATTTCACCAATTTCATGCCTGGTACTCATCATAAGTGCACTCTTTAATCCCCATCACCTATTTAGTCCATCCTCCCATTCACCTCCCCCTCTGGTAACCATCAGTTCCCTATAGTTAAGAAATCTATTTCTTGTGGTGTCTGGGTGGCTCAGTTAAGTGTCCAACTTTGGCTCAGGTCATGAT